ATATATAAAATAAGATAATTGATTTATAAATAGTCTTAGTATAATGATAAAAATACCTCATCTAACTTTTCTTCAACATCCATTCGTGTAACGTGTACTAATTTATCAAAGGGTGGATATAACATACAATGCTTAAAGAAACCAAACTATCTCCATTAATGCCCGAAGAGATAGAAAGAAAAAACACAAAGGACTAGAATAAAGGATACAAACAATAATAGGCCAAGAATGCGTTAGATCTAGAGATGCTGGTGAAATTAATTTCACAAATTTCACCATTACAAACGAATTTGTTTCATCACTCTAGTTTTGTTTCAGCAGTGTTGTCTCAGGGTGCATTATATTGACTCTAAACTATAAATAACGTAACTTAGCATATATTTCCTATCTTAAAAAACTATAAATAACATAATTTAGCAAATATTTTCCTATCTTAAAAAACTATAACTATACGTAAATAACATAATTTAGCAAATATTTTCCTATCTTAAAAAGCTATAACTATACGTAAATAACATAATTTAGCAAATATTTTCCTATCTTAAAAAGCTATAACTATACGTAAATAACATAATTTAGCAAATATTTTCCTATCTTAAAAAAAAAAACCATGACTCAGGTATATAATATTTCTAGCTCTCAATATGCAAAAGAGGCGTCGAACTATATTAAAATTTTAAATGAATTGCGTCGTATTGGTGCCCAATTCGCAGTAAATCTTCCCACAATCGTTTTTTGTGGAAATCAATCTGCGGGTAAAAGTAGCTTACTTGAGGCGATTTCAGGCGTTAAGGTCTATAAGTTTCTTATTATCTGCGTACTTATGTCTCAAAAATGAGATGCATAAAAATTAAATGTTATTTTTAAAAATTTTAGTTGCCTAGATCTGATGGAACTTGTACTCGCTGTGTGATGGAACTGAGACTATCCGAAGTTTCCAAAACATGGTCATGCCAAGTTTCTCTTCGCAAAGAATATGATCAACATGAAAAACGCCTTTCTAATCCAATTGAAACTAAATTTGGTAGCCCGATTGATGATCCGGATAAAGTTGAACTAATGGCACGTCGTGCTCAAAAGGCATTATTAAATCCTACGAGAGAAAGCGATGAATATATTGATTGGGATTTTAAAGACCAAACCTATGAAGATGATTCTCAATTAAATGGTCTTAAGTTTACGAAAAATGTCGTGTGCATGGAAATTAAAGGTCCTAATGTCCCAAACTTAAGTTTAATTGATTTGCCGGGAATTATCCGTAAGTTTGACATCGACTGTTGCATGATTAAATATGAAACATATAAACTTTTTACAACTAGCATTATTATAAATGTGGCTGGCAATTGTTCTTCGTAATATGCTTTACAAAGTTACCGGTTAAATTTATGATTTCCACCAAGTTCATTTAACAATAACTTAAACTCTAATATTAATTTACGCAATAAAGCTTTTTGAAAAAACTATTCTGTAAATTTATAGAAGTTACTGGTCGGTTTTCAAAAGTCTCTTGCATATTTGAAAACCAACTCACGTGACTGGTGACTGTAGTTCGCATCATCGCTATCGCCATATACTTTTTATAATAATATTTGTATGTATTCTTTTAATAATACTTAGGACATACTGAAAAAGCCGAAGATAGGAGATTTATCCCATTGACTGAAGAACTTGTAAAAGAATATATTAAAAATGAAAAATCAATTATAATAGCGACGATTTCATGTAAGGACGAAATAGACAACCAAGCAATCGTAACTCTTGCAAAAGAAGCCGATCCTTTAGGAATTCGAACTCTAGGCGTGCTTACAAAACCTGATATGATTGAAGAGGGAACACATGATACCTGGTTAAAGATTATGAGAGGTGAAGCCAATCCACTTGAACTCGGGTATTATGTCGTAAAGAATCCAACTAAAGTGCAGCGCATGGAAAATATTGGGTTCGAAGAAGCTAGATTAGCTGAAAGCGAGGTTCGCCTTTAATTTATATTTAAATAAACATTATTACTATTTAATAAATAAATTATAGAATTTAAATAATAATTGCAATAGCTAATATTTCATTTATAATAGTTTTTTGAAAAAGAAGATCCGTGGAATAATTTTCATTTACAAGAAAGAATCGGGGTTAAAAATTTGCAAAATAAATTATCTGAATTATTGATTAAAGCTATTAAAAGAAGTCTTCCAGACATCCGAAAAGACGTTGAAGAAAAGTTAGATGAGGTATTTTTATCATTATACTAAGACTATTTATAAATCAATTATCTTATTTTATATAT